CGATTAGTAATGGTCAATATTACCGGACCTCCGATTGGCTACCTACGGTGCCGAAAGAAGTTCAACATACATTTGCATATACGTTTTAATAAACAAACATCAATTGTTACACTTTCTCGGTGCATACGTCATGAGCCTTAAGAATCTATTAATGAATCAATGGATCTTCATCATCACTCTCACAATAGATGCCTTTGGCTACAACTTAGCTCATTGTCTCTTTGGCAAATATTGTTGTAGCTTAATAATTCAACAGCAAATATTTGGCTTTAGCCACTTAAATTCCTGCTCATACAGCAATGAGCTCTTAAACTTTTGAGTCTACAAGTTGTATAAACCCTATGCAAATACACTGGATGGAAAGCACACTCTTTCCACACAAATCCAAACTGCCATTAGATTTGGAGATCTAACCCAAACAAAACTATATCAGGGATGATATTGGTCGCGAAAGTCGACGTGTTAAACAGGTTTGGAGATGTTCATGCCCTCCGCTTCAACGTCCTTTATTTAACCAAGTGGGATCCCAAGAGGAATAATCTTCTTTCAAAGGAAGACCTGGACAGGCAGCGTAATTAATACCATGGGGAGGTGTTTTTGGGAATTATATCTAGAGACAGAAAGAGGAACGCATATTCAATATTAGATAACTTACGCAAGTCATAGACGATAATGATTGTTAATAATATTAAGTTGAATTGAGCAGGACATGTCACTAGAACGGATGAGAGCAATGGCCAACTAAAAAGTGACCAATACAGAAAATATGTCTGGGAGTACTTGCATCGTGAAGATCTAACAATGACATTGGTTTGTGTGCAGGTACATCCAAATGTATTTATTTTGCATTGCAAGGCCATGAGAGGTGGCGAAGGCTGTGGAAGGCCTTCAACAGTAGATGGGTTATGGCTGGTGATGATACCAGGGGTAACAAACAGTGAACCATTCAGGTGGTAAATTACCCACACTAGCAAATGTCCGGAAAATGACCTTTCGGGGTCTTCAACTTTCAAACCTGGTCTTAGGTCACGTTAACAATGGTGAATGTGATCTCAAACCAGTGCTCATAGATTTATTGATACGTGTACATTCCCTTAGACCTGTTGCCATTTGATTAGCGCGGTTTTGGTTAAATCATTAGCCTTCGACCTGAGTCTAATGCACAACACAGAAGTGTACGTTTGAGATTCCTTTGGTTCGAAGACGGCCGTCTTGCCCTCCTTTTTCGTGTTGTATTTGAATGATGTATGTTTGTTTTGTCAACTGATTCAGAGGCGTGTAAACATACAGACCAAACAAAGAGAGCTTACAATACCTCTCCGTACTATCTTAATCGTTAAACATATGGCAGTTCACAGCATTGGTTCAAGCAACCCTGACTGCTTTAAATCGAAACATGGAGTGTCAAAACCAGTCCATAATTTGCATGTATTGAACCACTGCTTCTGAATTATGCACTCCCAGAAGTCTTGTATGGCTGATGTGATGTGTCAAATTATGTTTTTATGCGGAGGGACAGATTTTATGAAGGAGGTGAATTTTCTGCTGATTTTTTTTTATACTGAAGAGAAAACTTTCCTGAAATTTCCGGACTCCATAGTTTGGCCTTTCGGAGGCTTTAAAAATGTATAGTTTTTTGGAAATATATTTCTACTGTATCATAAAGTTGCTAATCAAACAAAATATTGTAGTTGGTTTGCGAGATTAACACAATGAGAAACTCCACTATGAGAATCAACATTTTTACAGCTTTTTTGTGATACAACGATAACAACGTCTACAATGTATCTTGTTGGATACACTAATAGAGGTTAAAATATCAGAAGGAAGTTTATGGTGAACATTCTGGCAATTAAATTGCCGACAAGCGATCACCGTTTAAAGTTGCATTATTTTAGCTGTTCTAGCTGATGTAGCACTGTGTATACAACAACTTGTCGGAGACATTGTTTGTAAGCAAACTGCCAAGCATATATATCACATGGTGCTAACGTTTTTTGGCGAATGCCAATATTCAGTTGCCCTTCCAAAGGACAAAATCCAAGAATGTTGGCATTTATTTAAAAGATAAATTGTCCAAAACATTGGTACAGTACTGCCATTTTCCTAAATACACTGTAAATTTTGGCTGTTGAATCAAAGCATTTTGGCCAATTCTAGATTTGAAGTTTTCGTGACCGCAATGATCCATACTCTTTGGTTCTTTCGGTAAAGTCGCGTAGGTAAAAATATCCATACTCTTTGGTTCTTTCGACGTGACTTTACCGAAAGAACCAAAGAGTATGGATCATTGCGGTCACGAAAACTTCAAGAACCAAAGAGTATGTTGGCCAATGTTTTGAGAGTTTTTTGGTTTCTGTTGGAACGATTTCCAGCACGCACATTACAAATAGCATGTGTACTTAAACAGCTTCGAATCTCGTGACTTGCAATGGGATACGATGCTTAATCCTTTATTCATCTGGGTAATGCTATATATAGAGTGCAGTAGCTTCAAATTGAAGTATTGCGAGTTCAAATCCTGCTCTGGGGTTGATTCAGCTTATCGCCCACCAGAGTCGATAAAAAGTTCCACTTTGTTGGAGGTCCACAGAGTGGTTATCCTATGAGTAGCTTACTCAGCATCGGGGAGAGATGAGCACCGCCCAACACTCGTTTGAACATGGCTAATGACTCCACCCATCATCAGCAGCAGCCATGGTCAACCCACTGCTGGATGAAATCCCCTCCCCCCGCCCCAAGCTACCACCACCTCTCACGATAGTGTGCTGTCACAATGCACCCAGCACCTGCATTGATTTCATATCTCCATGCACTCAGTGGATGTCCTCTCAGGCAGGTTCCATTCCCTGGCTTCCCATCAGCCATTATTTGAGCAGCAAGGGGGCACAGGAGGTGGCAGGGTGTGCCTCATAGGAAGAAGATCCTGAGTTCGATTCCCGACTCGGGCACCTTTCTGAGTGAAGTTTGTATATTTTACCCCTCTTCTGCATGAGATTTCTCTGGGTTTTCCGGTTTCCTCCCACAGCAAAAAAAAAACCCCACATACAATGTAACTGGTATAGACCAAATATCTCAATGCTGAAGAATTTATTTAAATTTACTCAATCGGGACTACTCATAACAGCATCTCCCCTAACTGCAATTACTTGGCGGGACCCTCCTGAATGAATCTTAAGACTTAGTGACACGTTCCTAGGCGAACAAGCATAATTATAATAATCCGTTCTAGCAACCTGTCATGCACATGCCCTCTTGCTTTTATTAGCAGTCAATATAATGTCAATAACGTGCATGTGTTTTCTAATTCATGTGTTCTTCTTTCTGCCTCTCATTGTAATTCCAAGCGTGAACGTATCCATGCTGCTTTGCACATTTTTTTGTTTTTTGTTCCACAGTAATTTGTTAAAGGACACAAAAGTTCTAGATTTAAAGCTTTCGTGACTGCAAGGATCCATACTCTTTGGTTCTATTCGGTAAAAAATAGAACCAAAGAGTATGGACACAAAAGTTATTGCTTTTTTTCCTTCACGCCAACATAAATGTATTCAAGAAAAAGCTGTTTGGAGTACACGAAGAAGCTTGGAGAGGTTCATATGTGATAGCCAGACAATAAGACAATATGCCTCTCTTACATATCTGTCCCTATGTATGTATATATATTTTTACACATCCCATCAACCATCACGGCCTTCTGGGAGTGCACAATTTCAGCAGCATTGGCTCAACACAAGCAAACTCTGGACGGGTTTCGACATTTGGTTTGGGGCGCCACAGTGGCGAGATGTTAACTACCTCAACTGGTATACAGGAGATCGTGGGTTCGGTCCCGACCCTGATGCCTGTTGTATATTTGGTATATTTTGAGTTTGCGTGTTCTCTCTCCCCGTGGTCGTGTGGAATTTTCTCCGGATCCTTCAGTTGCTCACTCCACATTTAGAATCAACACACATTTAAAGTATTTGGCTGCTTTAAATTTCCACATGATAAGCCACTTCGCCGAGTTATCATTTATGGCCAGGCCCCCTCTGAAAAAAGAGCTATACAGCTCAGTGGACCTTACCTGGTAACATAAAACTATAGTCACGCTTCTCTCTGAATGTGAGATACGGGTCCCTCTGTACCATTGTTTCTCAAAATGTTAAGGCCCGCGGATCACTCAGCCGATGCAAACATTTCCACAAACCACCCAGCCCCAAAAGCCCTGGTGACACAATGCATTAACTTAACTCTCAATATCAGTCATACAAAATGATTCATATTGTCGGAACATAAAAACAATTATTTTTAAATGTAGCTATCCGGTGTTTTTTTTCGGGGGGGGGGGGGGTATTTAGATCTTAGGGTAGTTTAACCAGGGTGGTTTACCGAACTAAATTTTGACATTAAATATCACCAGCACAAAATTAATTAATGCCCGAAACAAAACGCTATAAACATTGTCATCATTTATTTGTTTCGATTTTAAAGCTTTCGTGACTGCAAGGATTCATCTTCTTTGGTTCTTTCGGTAAAGTCACGTAGAATGAGAATAAAATAATAAATTAATAGAATAAAATAACACAATAAAATTCTCACGACGTTTCGGCCACAACACAAGTGGCCTACTTCAGGTGAAAGGAACAGACCTGTCGGGACGACAGAGGTGAAAGGAACAGACCTGTCGGGACGACAGAGCTCTGTCGTCCTGAAGAAGGCCACTTGTGTTGTGGCCGAAACGTCGTGAGAATTTTATTGTGTTATTTTATTAATTTATTATTTTATTCTCATTCTACGTGACTTTACCGAAAGAACCAAAGAAGACTATTTATTTGCATCACAGCCACCGCCAACCCACCGATGGGACCGGAGGCCCCCCCTACCACCACCACCACCACCACACAATCTTGAGCGACCACTCACCCGGCCCTCTCTCTCTCTCAACGTGCCCAACCGTCGTGGATGCCCCCCCCCCCCCCGCTGCCGTTGCTGCCCCCTGCCGGCAGAACTCCGCCGCGTCACAGACACCGCTCCATCGCCCCGCCCTCTCACGCACGAGCGCAGCAGCAGCAGCAAGCAACCAAGCAAGCAGCAGGAAGGGCGGACAAGCGCGGCGTGCTGGCGGTGGTGGTGGCGTTTGCGTGTGGGGAAGCTCACACGCCCCCTCCCCTCCCTCCTCCTGTCCACCACCAGCCTGCCCTCCTCCTCCCGCACCACACGCCACTCTCTCCCGAGCACCGCTGCAGCTCACGACGACGAGAAGGGAGGAGGAGGAGGAGGAAGACGAGGAGAAGGAGGAGGAGGGGACCCCGTGAGCCAGCCACGCTATGGACGCGCCTCTGCCCACCACGGGATCCACCGTTTTGCTGCCTCTGAGCAACAAACTCAACATGCCCATCGACCAGGTGTGATAGGGGAGGTGGGGGGGGGGGCAACGCTGTGATCTCCTGTGAAACTCCCCGTCATCATTGCCGTCGTTAAATTCGTCGGTCGCCGTCAAATGTGCGTCGTTATTATTATTCTTCGCTGGCAAAAATCTCTCATCGTCGCCAATCGTAGTCATCACCACCGCCTTACGCATGGAATAATCGCGGTCGTCATAAATATCGTAGCGATCATTAATGTTACAGGCATTACCACGGTCATTCATCGGTACAATCTGAAAATCATCATAATCAGTCATTAACTAACACTGTCACAATCGTGATCATTAATATCATCGCCTTGATCATCTATAATCACTCATTGTCACGTTGCCATATTCATCGTTTATAACCGTCTAAATCATGATCAAAGTAACCATCATCAACACCATTATAAACACGTGCATGTATCACCATCAACACCATTATAAACACGTGCATGTATCACCATCAACACCATTATAAACACGTGCATGTATCAACATCTTCACCATCAACACCATTACAAACACGTGCATGTATCAACATCTTCACCATCAACACAATTATAAACACGTGCATGTATCAACATCTTCACCATCAACAGCATTATAAACACGTGCATGTATCAACATCTTCACCATCAACACCATTATAAACACATGCATGTATCACCATCTTCACCATCACCATTACAAACACGTCATGTATCACCATCTTCACCATCAACACCATTACGAGCACGTGCATGTATCACCATCTTCACCATCAACACCATTACAAACACGTGCATGTATCACCATCTTCACCATCAACACCATTACAAACACGTGCATGTATCACCATCTTCACCATCAACACCATTATAAACACGTGCATGTATCACCATCTTCACCATCAACACCATTATAAACACGTGCCTGTATCACCATCTTCACCATCAACACCATTACAAACACGTGCATGTATCACCACCTTCACCATCAACACCATTACAAACACGTGCATGTATCAACATCTTCACCATCAACACCATTACAAATACGTGCATGTATCACCATCAACACCATCAACACCATTATAAACACGTGCATGTATCTTCATCAACACCATTACAAACACGTGCATGTATCACCATCTTCACGGCGATAGTGGTGATGATGACTATTATGATCAGGGCGTTGAGTATGACGATTCTGAATGTAATTACGAGTAGTGATCGTGGGATGATGAATGTGACGACAAATGATGATGATGAATGTGATGGCGTTTGAGACGATCAATAAAATGTGATGGTGACGCTGAGTTATTATTATGAATGTGGTGATGGTGTCGATGACTACGATGATGACGATTACGAATGATTTGAGTGTTGATCCTGACGTTATGACGCTAATGAACGTGATGAATATGATCGATAAGATTGTGATGCTGAGTATCATTAATATTGATGACTTCGCTGAGAGCGCGAGCTCTCCTCCTGTTCTTTTACACCAATCGAAAAACGCTGTCAATATTTCCAACCGTGTTTGAAATCTGGGTACTGAATGTGTGTGTTTTTTTTTCATTCACACCTATTGCACACAGTAGCTTAAATAATAGTTACACATGGACAGCTGCCTAAGTGGTGTCTGTCTATTCACCCTCAACCGTGGTCAATCCACTGCTGAATGAATGGGCACCAGGGTGGTGAGATATTAACTCCCTCGCCTGGTCTACAGAAGGTGGTGGTGGGTTTGCTCCAGAACCTGACTCCTGGTGTATATTTGTAGTTTTCAAGGTCTCTCTCGATCTCCCCCCCCCCCGGTCACGTTTTTTTCCCTCCACGTTTTTAAAATGAACATGCATTTAGAGTATTTGGCTGCTAGAAATGTCCACTTCGTTGGGGATATCATTTGTGGCCACCAGGTCGCTTCTGAAAAAGAGCTATGTGTAGCCTTACCTGGTCAAATAAAAAAAATAGTTTAAATAGTTGTAAAGCTTGCCCCGAAGCGCCATTTTCTCATGATCCTGCCATGTGACAATTTTGATTGTCTTTTTGTGGTCGGTTTGTGACACCCGTGTCACATAGTGGGCTTCAGTCACAGTATCTGTCGGGAGAGACTGCTGCTTTGAATTATTCTTTTCAAACTTGAGCGATATTTCGGTGGAACACAATGCCAGCGGTGGGTTTTCAGTGTCCACTGCACAGAACGCCGGTGTGCTTTGGTAGTTACCTGTTGGAGTTTTAGGAGTTTACCAGAAAACTGTGTGTGTGTGTGTGTCGTCTGCCTCGGTGCTGAGTGCTCTTGAGAATCAGATTAACACAACCAGCCCCTTAGTCTAGGCTACTCGCCGAGTGTGCATATTGAGGGAATGAGATCTATGGGAACGCATATTTATATTTGGCCGATAGTCTTCAGGTGACAAGCGAGGAGACTTAAATGTATCCATAATAGAGGGTGTTTTTTTTTTTTGTTAGATCGCGTAAATGTATAAATGTGTCGTTAAACCCGCCACCACCCGACACAGCCAACCAGTAAGGGGTTGTCACGTCAACAGAACCGTGGCCAATTCGTCACTAGTACAGCACACCGGTAGTGTTGGAGAGACAAGCCCAATCCGAGTACGACCTTTCGCCAGTAATTACAACGAGCTTCATCAGGCGACAGCCAGATTATGTGGATGTGGTGGCCACGCTTGTGCCCTCTTGCGCCACGTGGGGGTTGGGATTCCAGAGCCAGCCACATGATGCATGCGCATTATGCGGTTTTTTAACGACGCATTTATATATTTACGCAATCTAACCCAGAAAACCTCTATTATGGATGGTATTGGTCGCGAAAAGCCTACCACGTGTTAAACTGACTTAAATGTATGTATGTATGTTGAACTTCTTTCGCGCCCTACATAGCCAACCGGGCGGGTAAAAATACACATTGCTCTTTCCGTGTTTTAAAATACACCCCGAGCCCTGGTAATTTTCCCACACGATTGGTTCCTTAATTACATTTCTACTTAACCTACAATTTAATCATAATAAATGTTTTTGGGTTAGATCGCGTTTATTTATAAATGTGTCGTAACCCTCCACCACATTTATAAATAAACGCGATCTAACCCAAAAACCTTTATTATGAATAATATTGGTCGCAAAAGCCTACGTGTTAAACCTACAATTTAATGTTTGACACCTTTTTTAAAGTGTTGTGCGAGTATGTTATGCCAGTTATGCGAGTGTTGTAGTTCCTTCACAAACCCGCACACGTATGTCATCAATCGCTGGTAGAATGTCAAATATGTGCTGAGGTTCACCGTGACGTGGTTATTTTTACTTCAATTGTCAACCTCGGTGGCTGAGTTTGTAGATCTCTAAGCTCTGCTTGAGTCTTAAACTGCACAACTGTCCGTCATTTGTCGGTGTCGCTTGTCTCCACGTTGGTTCTCAACTGATGGAAGTCACCCCGCTAAATGACAGCAAGAACGTAACAACGAGATGTGTGGGTTCTTTTATTTTTTTTGGGCGCGGGAGAACTGAGAAAATTTAAAACTTTCTAAATCTGCATTCGGCCTCGTGCGGTTTTGTCCATCGCTATGGTTGCATTTCCTTGTGAATTGTTTTCCACACGTGCAACTTTTACATGAACTGTGGTTTCTTAACTTCCATCTCTTGTATTTCAGTTGTGTAAATGGATTAAAGTGCGGTTGGTATCGTTACGATTGTGTTTCATGTCATATCTGTAGGGGTTTTTTTATTTTATAGATGACAGCACGATTAGCTCGAGGCCAGTATATGCGCAGAATCGAAACTACCATATTCTCTAAAGATAACTGGATACATGGCGTGATGTTACGGCCCTACCAACAGAAACGTATGAATCACAACATGAGTATATGCTCGCTTTAGCACTAGCGACACATAGAGTAATTGAACACTCGTTATTTGCATCGGTTCATGGCCGTGGTGAATAAGAGTTACAAAAGGGGGGGGTCTGTATTTTGTGTTGTTTGTGTCTGCTAACAGCAACGGAGAGACGAGCACATGGGGTTCAGCGATAATCCCTTTCCTCCTTTATGCCTCAACCCAGTCTCCACCCTGGCAGCCCCCTAATGATCTCGTCTTGTAATAGGGACGCTCCCTGTTCCAAGGTGAGCCCTGCCAGCGTCACCAAAATAGAGCGACGTGGATTCCCCACCCACCCACCGCACCGCGTGCCTGACGTGATTGCAAAGCCGTCCGGGCCAGTCGGGGGCGCGTCTCTCGACGTTTGGGTATGCAACCGGAATACCGTGAGGGCTCCGAGAGGCAACAAATGTAGCCACCACCGCTACACCCCCCCCCACACCCCCCCACAAAAACTCCACATCCTCCCAATTCCCCCACTCTACCGATCGATCTCAAACCCACCACCACCGCCGCCACAAAGCCGCTAGCACCAGTTTCTCAGCCGTGCTACTCCGCGGCCTTGTTTTGACGGTGGTCAGGGTGTGGGAGGGGGGCCCCCTAAGCACTGCAATGTTGCCACTTGCCCCGCTCGTGCACCAAAGGGCTTACCGGAATCTGTTGGGAGATCGTTAAAAAAATCTTCGGCGTCAATTAATCAATGCCGCTTGTTTTCACCCCAGTGAAGGGTACCTTTGAGAGTCGCGGTCCAATTTCCAAGGGACGCGCGAGTAAATGCAGCTACGTAGAAACATGTGAATTTATTTTGTGCTACATTTATTAGATGCCAGTCAAATAACAAAAAAATGTCTATAACACAAGCACACAGGTCTCCTTTGAAAAAGAGACTCTTGGTCTCTGTGGGCTCTTACCTGGTTATACGTTGAGCTCTATTACTACATTATTCTGTACAGTATTTGAAGGTTCTGTAATGTTATATTTATACCAGACTAGCTTTACTACCCGGCTTCGCCCGGGACTTGAATTCACGACGCCCGGCCGCCTTTGTCTCCCCAGTGGCGATGTTCACACACCACACCAGTTACGCGTTTGAGGCTGAGTCGACCTAGGGGAGGCCCAG